CCCCCCCCTTCTCAATCGGATCATTTTCACATGCGCTGTCAACAGTGTCATTCAAAGTTTCATTTGAAACTTCTGAGGTTTCATCTCTCATCAATTCACAGGAGCATAGGCAAGAGAAACAAGTATTTTTACATTGTTTTGTTGTGAAATAGCGGAAAGCTTAGAGATGAGTTCAGAAATTGTTTCAATGTGATTTACGAAGAGAGAAGTCAAACGTCTTTCACGGATGGCACAGGATTTTGAATAAAAATAAATAGCTGTAAGGGCCGGTGCTTACCGTTGATGAGCAAGCTGTAAATATTTTAGGATTCTAAGTTGGCGAGTGAGTTGTCAATATTTTAGGAATTCATCATGATTCCCTTTCAGCTACCCCCAGCGCATGAAAAGCACAAAAATTCCAGATTCAGGCCTTCGGGTGTTCTAAAGCTACAAAATTGTACTACAGCACTTTAAAAGCTAAATTTGACCACAGGATATAAGAGCTGGTTTCTTATCTTCAATCAAAAGTTATTTTTCAAAATTAGTGCTTTCTAATTTTCATAGTTCCGGCGACAATGTGGGCCCACGCATAAGTATCTTTATACATGTGGTATTCCTGGTATATACGAGTTATAAAAGGTGCATACGTATGCCCTTGCCGTAATGAGTTTTTTGGACACAAATCGAAAACGTGAAAACGCATAAAAATGGCCAATACTGGTAAATTATGCTTACTGGAAGCTTGGAGAGGAAAAACTTTTGGATCATTACAGCCTGCCTTAATCAAATCGGTTCACAAAACTTCCCCCCAGTTTTATACGATTCAATGTGAATTATTTGATAACAGTGCTGTACGCTATCACTTTGAAAATTTTTAAAATGCATTTGAAACAGGCCTTGCATCTGTTGACTTGAATCCAGCAGTTCTCGGAGCTGGCGATGTCCAGTTACGACTCTTTTCACTGTCTTCCGATAGCGGCTTATTGAAATTTTGCCCAAGTGTGGGTACGTAGTGATGATGAGGACTGGGAGTCCGAACCGTTGAAGTGGTCAGCTGTGGTTTCCGAAATACAGCTGATGAATTTTCTGAGTTCCACATAGTTTGGTGTAACCATGCTCCTGGAGAAACAGCCCCAGGATTTGTTGCACCGCTTGCTTGAAATTTTCGTGCCCGTTCCGTGTATGCCAGCAGTAACTCGTAATCGTCCCCCGGAAGTGAAGTCGCTCTTTGGAGAGGCACTGCATGCTTTTCTGCGTCACCATCCTGAATGTTATAAACAGTTTTAGGGCAATTCGAAGCCAACTTCAAAAAGCAAACATTTTGAACGGTAAAGTTAATTTACTTCTTTTCTCGATGTCCACTTATTTGTCCGGCTCATTCGCCTGATTACTGTCGAAATCGATTCGTTCTCCCAGTTTGGCTCCTCGTCCTCTTTACCAGGCTCATCGTCATCGTCCTTGTACACATTCAAATCGAACGCTAAAGAAATTTGATTTCATACTTGTCGCATTTCCTGCTAGAGCTGAGAAAGCGGGAAAAGCAGGAGGTGAAAAGGGCTGATATTTGCATCCTTCCGCATTTTTTCAAAGGCACTCATTTCATCTGCGGGAAACGTGAATGCAATGAGAACTGGGTCTGATGGAGACAGATTTACAGAAGAGCTTAGAAAGCGGGAAAAGCAGAAGGTGAAAAGGGCTGATATGTTGCAGTTAAATTCATAAATGGATGCAACACGACTGAAAATTGTCAAAAATTTTTTGGCACTTTTTAGGTAAAACGCAGAAGTAATACTTTAGAGATACACGGCGGCGATAGATGGTAGTAAATTGGGTGGCAAATAGAGGTAAATGGAGGACTAGCATACACAAAAGTTTTGCTTTAGACAGGGGTTTTAGGACTAGGTTTAGAGGAAGTTCCTTGAATTTACTCATTTCACGAACCTTTTGCCATAATGTTCCTGCAGACTAGACAGTTTCCATGAAGAAGACAGTAACAAGCGCTATTTGGAGGCGAAAAGATATGTTCATTGATAACGCAGTATGTGCTGCACTGCGTATAAGGACACTAAGGGTGAATTGAAACTGAGCGCTAAGGCACGTTCTTCGACTGCAAGGGCTACTGATAAGGAAGGAATTTGCCATTATATCGAAGACTGGGGATGGGCTAGCAAAAACACTAGTTTAACTGCAGAAAAATTATCTAGTTTTGAGAAGAGAGCAAAGATAACCACTTCGCATCAAAAGACGTTCCTGCTATATGAGAAAGACGAAGTGGAAAAAGCCCGTAAAAATGAAAGTTTCAAGTCAGATTTATCTCAGTGAAGTTAAATTTTTAAAAGGAAATTTTAATTTTGGCTGAGGCGGCAATAATGTGTTATGGCGATACAACGAAACAAATTGTTTTAAGGGCAGCCGGGAAAACGAAGAGGCGGGGGAAAACGTCGTTGCTCTGCTCTGTAGAGGAGAGGACTGGGGCTTTTTTAGCCACTTAGGCTAGGAGGCCAAAGCCCCGAGCCCTCTACACCACTTACCACCGTTGTTTTATATATTGCAAACCACGGTGGCACACGTCATTTACGCTTTTTCTGCGACATCCTACTGCGGGGCACAGAGGAAGCGATATCGACCGGGCTAGGAGAAATTACATTGTGATCTCAGATTCTCGGAAATCGTGCATGATCGAAGACTATGTACCAGTTTTACAGCTTTAGCATCGGGAATTTTTATTTTCACTTATCCGAACACACATGCAAATACCCATGCATATAAACACACACGCACGAACATGAGTTTGCTGCAGTGCTTTTTCCGGCTCATGCAAAAAATTCATGAAAAATGTGCTTGCATGGCGTATATGTTAAAGTAGTCGATTGCCACGTCTGAGTATTGGAGAACTGCATCGTAGCAGGATCGTCCACTTTTCGGTCATTTTTTTCCACTGTGATTGCCTTGCTCTGATTCGTTACCTGAAAGCACCAAAATAGTAAACTTATGTGCAAAAACGATCGAATTGGGCAGAACTTTATGTCCCATAGGAATCGTCAGTGTTTTTGGAAGCGCTCTTGATATAGGCTCACAGGATAGCACTATTGGGGCTCGATCTTTTCCGTCCGATAATTTTTGTGGTATGCGTCTTTTGGATTTGAAAATTTTCTAAGCAATAACGAGGCCTGTGTACTTTTTTTATGCTGCTGTTAATACAGCACGAAAACGCATCATGATGAGATCATGAGTGTGTTTGTTTATCTACTTCGGAAATGCAAAAGCTAGAAAGCTGAAATTTTGTGAAAAAAATTCCGGGCGTACACAATTTGTTTTGAAACTTGGCAACTCTTGGATTTGAACAAATTCGCAACTTTGAAGCTAAAAGATTGTAACCTAGAAATTTTGAAAACAGAATTCTAAATTGTGCACAAAGCCGAAAAAAGGAATCAACACTTTGGTGACTCTCTACCCTAACCTCTGCACCCTGCTGAAACATTCAAGCGAATTTTAAAATTAGAAATCAAAAAAAAAATGCAAGCTTTGATTTCTGAAAATAAAGCTGCTGGTCCTATGCAAGACTTAAAGCCCAAACATCATGAAATCAACTAGCATCTCTTAGATTTTTTTTAATTAGTTTATAATTTAGGATATAAATTCATGCCAGTTTTTAAGCTAGAGAAAGGATAGGTTTACCACTTATGAATTCAAAATTTTGAGGGTTGAATTCGGTTTGCATTAGGTTTGATAAGTCAAAATTCTATCTTATAATTGTGCCTTTAAGGCAGGAATCCGGCAACTGTAATCACATTCCGAAATGACCGGCAGAGCAGTGCTGTGCACTTTTGCTCTTTTTGAATGGTGTACCATTTTTTTAGCTGGAATCGCTCCCATACTTCAATTACTACCCTCTTAATACCTTATCATTTCGTCCTTTTCCCCCTTTGTTTGCAGTTGTTATCAGCAGCTATCAGCTTGCAGCAGCGGCTCTTGGAGGATGAGGATAAATTACATTAAAACACTTTGCACAAATAATAAACTCAGGGAGTGACGCACCGGAGTTGCAGGTGCTATCGTGCGTTTTTCGTACGATCCCATCCTAAAAAAGACTTTTATACCTCTCGTGGTGAATTCTCAGCAGCATGGACATTAGCGTTGATTCCTGAGTGGCTCTCAGTGACAGCCGGATTATCGTCCACATTCTCTTCCACGATTATTTCTGGAACGGTACCGGGACAATACTGTGTCTGGTTTGCCAGTGCTTGTTGTTTCTCGAATTCCTCTTCTTCGAGTTCGCTGAATGCTTCTTTCCTGAAAGGCATTTCCTATTAAAAAAAAAAAAAAAACAAAAACTTTTTCGATCTGGTTTTGGCGAAAAATGATGAGACTCAGAAAAATGCAAAAACAAAAAATCAAAGAACGAAAAGCTGATAAGAAAAGGCAAATTTAAAGAGTAAAAAACAAAATTCGCTAATCCAGCATGTAAAAACACAATTGATCAAGGGAAAGGCCAGTATGCGCTAAAGATCGAAGTGATAAAGCAGCCATGCGGTCACTCCCTATAGGCACACTGAGAACTGTTTTTGATGGCACATGCGAAGAATGTATGCTCCGCCAACACAGCCTTTCATCTACTAGTCACGGGTCACAAAACTGTTATAAATTTATGAAAGGGCCAGTGGTCAGAACAAAACCAAGAAGAAAAGTTAATTTGATGGCGTTGTTGCACCGTACCATTGGTCAATTTGCTTCGCCAGAATTTGTACTAGTTTATAGCCCAAGTTTAGTCCGGCTACGAGCCAAACGGGAACTGAGTTTTGCAGAAAAGTTTCATTGCTGACTTAGTGGCCCAATGCAAAATTAAAAGCTGAGACCCCAAGCCTTTATGTCTCAAATTCATCCAGTTCTGCAGTTTGATTATCCGAAGAGGCACACTCGAGCGTATGGAAATTCATTTCAACAGAAAAACGAATGAAAAGCAGTTATAATAAAAATTTGATATATTTGTCTGCTTCAGTATAATTGCTTGTGTAAACTTCCTCTAATCGATGGCTCCAGTTTTATGACATTTTGCTATCGTTAAAGACGGTATTTGCATAAAATGCCATATTCTTACACTGTGCTAGATTTTGCGTATATGTGTTAGGGAAATTTCTAGATAATGTATAATTTATACGACGGCCTACTGAAAAACGATTCGAGTGTCAAGTACTTTTTTGAATGTGAAATATCTTATGAAAAAAGACGCATCACTCATATTATTATTTTAGCGTAATTTGTTAAAGAAGAAACGCACACAAAAGTGCTCATTTTTTCAGAAGTTTTAGTTTCCAAAGTTTTTCCAGTGTGTTTTTTGTCAGTAATTTTCATCATTGCACTGTAAGGTAGGAAATGACAAAATGTCTGTTAAGATGCTTTTTTTTTTGAAAAATCGCGAATACACAAGTGCTTTTGTTCAGTATCGCAAAAATTTTTGTCCCGGCTGCACGATTTTTTTTTAGAAGAAACAGTTGATTTTCTGTTACTCAACTTCTTACTTTTGTGCATTTGTTTACGAATTACATCGGGCTCATTCAGATTTGTATGCATCGGATATCTCAGATCTGAAATGGCTAAGCCAGGATACTGAAATCCTTGGATAATTACCCGCGAGTATGCACAATATCGCTAGCATCACCAGCATGTCTCTCAGCGTATCTGAACCGACAGTCTCGGGGAGGCTATGGATAATGGCTGCAGAATAACTCAGACAAAAAATTCAAATTTTTTTTTGTTTTGTTTATAGATTTGGCACAATGTGTCAGTTTCTTCCTGCACAGGCATCCACGTGCCCTGGGCACTAGGTCGTCAGAGCGTGAAATCACCTTAACGACAGCTGTGCATTGGTGTTTCTTGGCAAAAGCGTAACTTGAGGGGCTGATAATCAGAGTGTAGCCAGTAATTTCAGTTAAAAAAAAAAACTACAGTGCAAGTGCCGCGGCTCAAAAACTGTGTGGTGGTTCTGTACGGTTAGTGCTTTGTAAAATCGTGTAATCGCTTCTGTAGATGAATAATCGGAGAGAGAAAGTGGAAAAGTACCTTCTCTGGTCCATTTTGCTGCGTAAAGCTGATAGCATTGATGGCCTGTAAATGCCGCAATGGGCTGGTGAATCTTTCCGTCGCATAATGCTTACTTTAGCTGATAACGGACAGGAAACACTGCTCGGCTGCTATTGCTTCTGCTGCTATTGCTCCTGTCGTTGTTTCCTTCACGTCTATGGAGCCTTTTCACCTGCACGGTACTGCATCCTTCAGCAGTATATTTCCCTCTTACTTATTAGCAGCCGATGAACGGCTACTTGCTTGATGTAGCGGCACGCGACACCGGTTTTGCTGCACTCTGACTGCTTTAATTTGCAACTAAAGATTTGCGAATTTATCTCACAACAAGTTTGTATCGGAGTGACCTGCATGCTAAACCCTGCCATCAGGCTGTTTCACCCAAGGGGGTTTCACAACCGTCGAAGAGAAGCTACTAATAATAAGAGTTTTGTCATTTTTGTTACAAGCACACCTTCACTATCCCAAAAACAACCCAGGCTAGAACGCACCGGGCGGGCCCGTGCGATCATGCGTTTTTGCCCAGGACTTGAAATACTCAGGTCATTATCTGCATGAATGGTTGTTGCTTTACACCTACCTTTTGCGATCACTTGCATAA